GTGAGTGGGGGTTCGCTTGTTTCATTAACAACGAAGTCTAGCTCAAAAATAAATCACGGGTGCTGTGCGCGACGGTGTCGGTGACGCGGCAGCGTGCGGCTAGGGTGCCCACAGGGCCCAAAAAAAGAAAGGAAAAAAGAAATGGGCCACCCACGATCGCAGCACTTCGTGTTGGCCAGTCGAGAAATTGAGAGTGTGACTAGGAGGGTGGGACGCTGGGGATTCTCAAAGGTATACCCTTGGAATGGCCGGATCCAGCCTTAAACGTACGAGATCGCGCGCGCTTCGCGCGCTGCACCGCCTATTCTCCGCGGCTGTGTGACGACGCGTGCCGTGTACCAGCAGAGTTGGGCGCGCGCGGCGCGACGGCGCCCGCGAGGGAAGGCGCGGGTGCAGCGGCCGCCGGCGGCCGTACCGCCCGCCAGCCGGCGCAGCAGCGGCCAGCGCAGCGGCCGCCGGCGCAGCAGCCAGATCAGCCGGTGCGCGCCTTGCGAGGCGAGTACTGCCGCCCGGCAGCCTTGAGGCGGCCGGGCGGCAGTACTCGTTCGAACTTTGCGAGCCGTGCGCGCGCCGAGGCGCCCGCGGCGCGCGCCCGCCCGGCTGCCAGTAGGAGGCGGCGCAATATGGCCTATAGTACAGCCCTTAGGAGGAGGAAGAGGCTGGCTGGCAGTGCTGTATGCCGCCGAGGGGCAGTTTTGGGGTGCTGACCCACGCCCAGGGGACTGCAGAACGCGTCCGCAACCGGGACAACCCGCCCCCCCCGCCGAGGCCGGTCGAAGCCCACTTGACCACAGCCATGAGGAGTCCTCTTGGTGCTCCTGGCGGCCGTTGGAATGGCGAGCGCGCGCCGATGGGGGGGGGGGGGGTCTTGCTTGCTCCACACCGAGCGCCATCGGTCCGGACCGGCGTGGTCACCGAGGGGTGGCCTGCACAAGGTCTGAGCCGCGGGCGCTCGGCGCCAAGTGCAGTGTCACGCTCGCGCTGGAGCGGGTCACAATGGGAAACCCTCGTTTCCTATTCACTCGGTCCCCCAACGGAAGAGGCCTCGCTCCTATTGGAACTGGCCAACATCAGATTTGGCATTTGCCTCGTGCGTCCCTTTTTGAGTCGGAAAGCTATTTTCTTTTGGGTCCTGTGGGCACCGCCCTAGCGTGCGCGGCAGCAGCGCAGCGCGCGCGCGCGCGCGCAGCGCCGATGGCGGTCCCGCGCCGCGTCGGCGGCGCTCTGAGTGAGGCAGGCTGCCCTCCACAACCCGCTGGGCACGCTCTCGACGAGCGGCGCGCCATGCGGGCCCGCGGGCCGTGCGCGGGCCGCGCCGCGGGCGACGCGGAGAAATTTACCTCACCGCTTACCTTACTTTTTAGGACATGCGCCAGAGATCGTGACTCTACAAAAACAGCAGACAGCACGGTCTACAGTCAACGCGGCGCTCACATGCCGAGCTTGTGCGCCTGGAACTCGCGCAGCTTGTAGAGCGGGTGACGGAGGTGCCAGCCGCCCTTTAAATCGTCGTGGTCGCGCACGGCGGCGTTCCCCTCGGCGTGCAGCGCGTCGAGGATTTTGGCGACGTCCGAGGAGATGGTGACGGGGATGCCGGCGAGAAAGTTGCCGACGCCCGGTCCGAAATCGACGCCTTTGCCAGCGACGAGGGGCGTGATGTGCTTCATCACTTGCTGCGCGTTCTTGTGGGAGAGCTTGCCGCGAAAGTACGCCTCGAACTCGCCGAGCCACCCCTTCTCCTCCTCGCGGAGAGAAGCGCGCTGCTCCTCTGTGATTGGAGACCAGCCGAGGTGCAGGGAGCGGTGTGGGGAGCGCGGCTTCTTCCGCTCGCTGGCGGGCGGCGCGAGCCCCGCACTGGCGCCGCCCCGCTTCTTGCTGCTGCTCGGCGCGGGCGAAGGCCTCGACGGCGCCTGAGCGGGCGGGCCAAGGACAAGCGTCGGGTGTGGTGGTGTGGGAG